GTGGGTCTGGGGTGTGGGTGAGTATGGGTGTGGGTCTGGGGTGTGGGCGTGGGTGAGTGTGGGGTGTGGATGTGTCTTAATCTAAGTGTTCTCTTCACCAACACCCACACGCACACCCACCCACACCCTTGACTGGTCTGAAAAGTTCTACCGAACCCGATCGGTAAATGAAAAACTGGCCGTTTCAATTCTAACTCTGGTATTCATTAGACTGTACCAATATCCGTTAGAATTTGCCAGAGTTCATGAAAATCTATCAAAGTCTGTTAGGATTCACCTCAGCGCACCCATTTAACTGTAGTTCACTGAGGTCCACTATAATCTTAAATCATGAAAAAAATATAGATCCTATTGGATCCTATACGATCGTTCATTTATTTTGTTTTAAGTAAAATGAATATACAGTCAACATTCTGGACCATATTAATGATGATTGAACTGATTGAAATACATAATTAAATAATGAACTAACAGTTAAATAAGCATGTTCACATAACTCTGTTGTTTTGCCAGCATTAAAATGTTGGACTAGAAAAATTCAAATTGAATTAAACGAAATTTTTATTTCCTAGTTTTACATACTTCCTGGAACATGTGTTTCACAAAATGAGAAGACAGAATCCGATGCCTTATGTACTGTGGTTGTTGCTACATGAAAAACCTAAATATAAAAATAAATAAAAATTTTTAAAAAAATGAAAGGAAATTTTCCTACAGTCTCTGTGCCATGTTGAATTGTTGATGTAGTTGTATCTTTAACTGAATTCATTACATGACGAACAGATTCAGTTTTTTCGTTGAATGTATTCATAACCTCTTCAGTTGGTGTATTAATAGCAGGATATTTACATTCAATTTGACGAAGTTTTTCGGAAGCATAATCGTCAATTTGATGCACTAAATTATGAGAATATATATATTAAAAAACAAACGAATTCATTTAAAAAAAATTTACTAAGTCCATATAATGGTTTGACAAGGGGATCAGCAACTGTAAGAGTAATTTTTAATGATTTATCAGCAACTGTTTCGACTAAATTGCATGGAAGGCGGATGAATACACTTGTATCTTTAGCTTTGGCATACATCTCGTGAAGTTTATTAGTTGATGAACGGACGACTTTTAATTATTAAATAACAAAAAAAAACAATTAAAAATAATATTAAAAGTAATTTTTTCTTACCTGGTATGTCATGAAGATATGAGAGAGTTTGAAAGCCAAACATGGTTCAAATGAACAAGAATTAAAATTATCGAACTAAAAATGTAGTGATTAGATACTACGATTGAAGTGAAAAATCAACTGCATATGCTTCTCTTTATATACCGACAAAAACGAACATACACACATAAGTTAAAGAGCAAATTCCAAACATGCACCACTCGACGAAGAAATGAGATAACAACAAAGCTTATAGTATGACAAGGTAAAAAATGTACTTTAGTCAAGGTAAAAAGATAAACGAAGAAAGAGTAAAGGTTGGATGATTAACAAGCAAGACAAACTTTGACTCCAATAAAAATCTTTTATTAAAAAATTCTTTCCAGTAAACATAAAAAGAAAGATCAAGAAATAGATGACACATTCATATAACCAAGCTTTTCCTACATTTTCCACGATAGAAGTATCACCTTAACATTAGCATTGCATTAATTAATGCTTTTATGTTAATGTTAAAAAAATATTCTAATACTTGGTCATTAGTATTAAATTAATATCAGGATAATACTAACACCTAGCATGATTATGCAAGTTGTTTATAGGTATATTGCTTTAGCTCTATTATCAGCTTCTGTCTACTAGGATTTCCTTATAACATTAATATAAGAAAAATCTTATGTTGACATCACAGTTAACTCATTCAAAGGATCATTTAGGATGACAGCATCGTATATCACTTAATTTTCATATGACAGATGTTTAAGTGAGTAATTATTTTTTAGTAAAAGATATCTAAAAGCTTTTTTTCACTATTCTGCTTATGGTTATATAAATGCTTATTAAGTATATCGTTTTTTCGATACCTTTCTACACGTATAAAGCACAACAAAATCATTTCAAGAAATTACTTCATGTGTCGTTTCAACAAACTCTCATTATCTGAATTATATCTTATAGATTTTAATATCACTAAAAATAAAATCCTGACATAACAGTTGAATATCAGTTCAACATATCTTTAACTATGAAATCAGAGAAAAAACATCATTTGGGACTGAATTTCTACTTAATTCATAAGATTACAACCAAATAAAGCACAGTTGTCTCTCTGATATTGACATCTGTGCACTTGACACAGAAAGAGAAGCTAACAGAAGAGAAAGATCCTTTGAATGAGTTTTCTTTTTATACTACTGATTTCTAATAAACATACTTATACTTTTTGAAAAAAAAACTATCGATGTATATTCATTTAACTGCGATATCAACACAAGATTTTTCTTGTATTAATGTTATAAGAAAATTCTAGTAGACAGAGGCTGATAATAAAGCTAAAGTGATATATCTATCAACAACTTGCATAATCATGCTAGATATTAGCATTATCCTGATATTAATTTAATACTAATGCCAAAGTATTAGATTATTTGTTTTTAACACTAACACAAAAGTATTAGCATTTTTTTTTTGAATACTAATGCTAAGCTGATATAAGTAAAGGGTGTGTTATAATAACTGATGATAAATTATTGATGATATTTTTGATACTTTTTTTTGACAGATAAAGCTGAAATTTTCATAACACGTAAATCTAATTAAGATCTTTTTAGTTTCTGAAAGTTTTAACTCTCTAGCTAAAACTAGTGCAACTCCATTTATTGCCACATTGCTCTTCCATTTTGATTGACATCAGACATCAAAATAAAACAATAAATGTGAGCACAAGAATCAAGTCGAATATTGGAATGCTGATCTCAAAAAAAGACAAATGAATGAATGAATGAATGAATGAACCAGAAAATCATTTAAGGTCAAGATCGACTATGATATTTCAGTTAGGGTGTCGGTGTGGGATGTGGGCGCGGGTGTGGGTGATGATGTGGTTCTTTCATCCAATTCACATTCAAACCCATACCCCACTCCACATTCACACTCACACCCACATCCCACACTACACCTACACCTGCAGTTCACAAATCGAACGCGTAAAAAATCGTTAAAATGTGCGCTTTTTATGAATTTATTTTCATTAGATTTTCGATGCGTTTTTACGGTTTTTTTTTCATTATTTGTCTGATTGGGAAGAACGATAAAAAAAATACAAGGGAATCCACAGAAAAAACAGTTGTATGATAGTCAGACGATCATAATGCAAAGAAAACATTATTTTATTTTGCTGCTGTCTGAGTTACCACTTATTTTTGTTTCTACGCATTACCAAACGAGTGGCAGAAATTGACGTAAGTAAACTCTACTTTGCCTGTCGTGATGGACATACCAAGACGTTTGAGCAGCTTCTCTCCACGTTATCATTAGATTAGATCAGATCGATCATGTAAAGGCACTTCTCACTCTTTGCTAAATAAATATTGGAAGGCGGCAGCAGATGAAGTAACTATTCCACGAATAAAAAAGCTCTTCCATCAACCAATGAATGAAGCAAGCACCTCTTATACTACCAAAACGTCTAATATCGAATGGTCTTTAACTGATGAAGAAATTTCTACTATAATATGGCACACAAAAATGGTATGGCGTATAGATGGGGGTGTAGGTACTCTATTTGTCTTTCGCCCACACCAAACACCTTCATCCTCTCATCTCTTTATCGGTGTATGCCTCTCACTTTAGCATGTTTTTTTATTTGCCTATCTATTAGAACTGACGATGAGTATCGTTATATCTTGTTTTTAGAAATACCTATGTTTTGTTCACTATGCTTTTCTTAAGACAATTTATCACTTTTATGAATGAAATTTTATCATTCTTTCGTCTTTTAGATAATTAACTTACGCAGTGAGATTTGCTTTAGGTATGAGCACTGTAGCAAATACAATTGGTTCAAATGCTAAGTTCTTCTGTTATGGAGATAAGTTGCGTCAAAATTTATTTTCAAAACAAGCAACAAAATATAGAAATGAGAACAATGATGGTGCAGATAAGATAGGTAAGTCTCACTACCTAGCGTCCAGCATCATATGTTTATTATATTTTCATGCAAAGACACTAAAGTAAGCACTACTTTGTTCAGTTAATGGTCTTGATCATACGATCAGCCGTTATTCCCTTTCAATGATTCTATGCAATCTGAGTGAATAGCTAATGTTTCTAAAAATTCTTTCTTCAATACCATCAATTGATTACCTATAACTAACAGCGTATTGCTCAGATGACAACCTTATGTATATAGATTGATATAGACCTTTACAAGTATCAACCACAAGCACCTATAAAGCCTATTCACGTATAACTAACCTCCTCTTCCCCCCAATCCTCACCCTCAATACATGTCTCCTATTTCTAGTGCTCTACTGTGTCACAAAGTCAAAAAATTCCCCATGCTGAAAAGTGAAAAGTTAATGAGATTTCCTGACCTACATGTTTTTCCGAGAAAACTAGATCATCATTTGATTCTGCATTGAATCCTGCATCGAAATTCAATGACAGTTCATCCTCTATATCATGCAGTGCCGCATTAGATATAAGTAAAAAGCACTAAGTCAGCCTTCCTTTCATATGCACGATAATTTTGGCAATTTTTTTTATCGTTATGACTCATACACGGCCACACATATTCACCGTAATCGAAACTTTTCAACTCTTTCTCGTGGTGGCATCCCAAAAATGCAATTTGTAATACAAAAACACCCCTTGTATGCTGGTAGTTTTGCAGTTTTATAAGCCTTAGCATCAAAATAACAGTCGCATGAAAATCTGCGTCGAATCATAACCAGTACGAGATAACTTTGGAATGTGTAAACGATTTCCAAGTTTTCAGCCATCGAAAACTCAACTTTTGCATCATAAGTCTTGACAATTTTTTAAGGTTTTAATCCTTTGTAGCCGCTTATTTTATTCGAGATCAACATAAATTCTCATGCGACTATTATTTTAGTGCCAAGACTTATAAAACTGTGAAAATATCAGCACACAAGGGCTATTTATATATTGAAAATTGCATTTTCTGATACTCACTTGAAGAAAGTGTACAAAGATACGTCTTACAAGGAACATGTGTGACTGTGTGTGAGTAACAAGAATGAAAAATTGTCGAAAAGTCTCTTGCCAGTGATTTAGAGAGCTGTGGGCGAAATGGCAACTGTCCATGGGTCGAAAAATTTTGCCGACGGATTTTTATAGATGTGACAGTTGCTCACTGGTCAAAAGCGTATAGATGAAGTAGTAATAATAAAGCGATATCTTTCGTCCATTACTTAGGTATGAATAATGTCTCTCTGTATCAAACATTATCTGATATCAGCATAGAAAATCATAAAAAAGATTCCAGCTCACTTAACTTTTAATTATGCAAAGGTACCCATTTCTCCAAACACTTTGACTGAGTAAAATTGCCCCTACTCAAAAATTTATGACTACATTGCTGTCTCTCAGAGACCGGCGGAACTAAGTTTTTTCCTTCTCGTCCTGCTCCGTCTTGTTGAAATCATTAAGCTATGGTTCCGTTCCACTCCACGTATGCGACAAAGTCATATTTTTACCCTAATACTACTATCCCACAACTTAGAAAGCACAGTTGTGAATTTAGTGTCGAAGTTCTTAGCAGAAAAGTGAATCAAAGCTCTTCTTAGTCGGGTCCACAGATCATAATCGCTATGTTGCGAAAACTCTTGGATATCATAAATCAGGATACGTAATTCGATGTGAGATTCTTCGATATATAATAGATTTTGTGAAACACAATTGGAAATGAGTGCTGAAGTATATTACGAGGTAAATGAACCGAGCTCCTGCTCCCCAATAGACTGTGACAGACATGACAACATACTATTATTCCCTAGATGGAATAGTCTGGAGTTTAGAAATCTCAATTAAAACCGTATACGTGGTATCTGTACCGAGGACATCTTTGCTGGAGTCGATGATATCTGCGTTTGGATCAACAAAATAATGGAAGGTCATAAACACGCCAAGTTAGTGGAACTACACTTTTTGGATGAGTAGGATGCATAAGATGTGAGACAAATTTATTCTTGACCGCAAAAACCTATTGAAAATTTGACAGCCTGCCCGAGACTTATAAACATCTTTCAAAAACAAACTCAA